CAGCATGGGGTTCATGAGGGGGTCCCTGGAATTTTCTTCGTCATTGTAAGGGGTCCCCAGACCCAAAAGGTTTGAGAACCCCTGCTTCAAGCGATAACAGATTGTGCAAGGTTTTTTTTTAAACATGGCTTTAACTATTTTAGTCGACCCTGTCTGTCTGTTAGTAAAATATTTATTGAGCCACTTGACACATTTTAATGAAACTTTCAGAAACTAGTCACTGGGTGTACAWCTACAGCTGATAAACCTTTGGAGTCAATTCAATTCAATCTGGCTGGCACAGGAAATCAACTTTGTCAAACACAGAAATAGTTGTGAATCAGTCACTYCTGCAGATATTRAGCTAATATTTGGTAGGKTMGTAGCTGAGAGTCAACCCCATCACATACTTTGAGTTTTAACAGATCAGGTGAAATCTCATGATATCATGCGACAACTTATAGAATGTTGTTTTAAAGTTTTGACCAAAATGATTACATCTCCTTTTGTCAACACAAGATGATCCTAGTTTAAAACAGAATTCAGGATTGTTGTTTGGGAGTTTCTGTAAGGTTTTAAAGGAACAAAGTTAGGCCATGGTTTTGTGTCACAAGAAGGAAAAACATACATGCTAACAAAACAAAAACAGTGTTCTTTCTGTGCGCGTAATTCTGGTCCTAAACCTTCTTTAAACCAACACTAAACCCTCAGTCCTGTCTTCAGGCAGCAGAGGCTTTGTTGTCGCAAAGAGGACGAGTTTATTTGCTCTTCTAGTCCTCAGTTTGAGTGCTCCTCCCTAATCCTAAACCCTATCAYTGTCAACAAAGATTAGTATTGCTGCTAAATTGGCTCCGATGGCTTGACTGTGTTTGCATTAATTGAATTTAAATAATTCAATCCGTTGTTTGCATGTAACTGCGCCCCTGTAATAGGTCAACTCTGATTTTAAAAACTGAGGTCACTGACTTCTTTCTGAAGCCTTCGGTTCCCTGCGGGGGTGTCTGAAGTGATTACCTGGCTCCAGAGAGCCGAATTAGATTTCCAACATGGCCACTGAGTATACTTCTTCATCAAGGGAACAAAGAAATCTAACGTTCTTGCTTTCTTTCAGTCTCCACTGAGCAGGAGATAAAAAGGTAAAGGTCATTAGTTTGGCAYTAAGTGGTTCTCAATCTGCTTTTTATTGACCTGGAGCAGAGCTGCAGCGGCACATAATCACTTTGTGTTTGCTGTTTACCCTTCATTAATCTCGAGTCATCAATCTCTCWGGGCAAAATTCAGTCAGAAAATACAATTTTACACTTGACTGTGTATTAGAATGGTGTAAAACATCAAATTATTAAAACTACAGAAGGATTACTGAGATGAAATGGTGACTCTTTGCATATTGTGTTAAAAAGCTACAGGGATGTGAACATTTTAATGAGTTGTCAAACCTTTATTTATAGAAGCCAATAAATTCTACTCAAATAATAATATAATAATAATTTTATTTTGTAAAATGGTTTGAAAAAAAATCTAATTTTAAAACAAAATGTTTTCATATTTTTACCACACACTTATCTGATATGTTAAAACAAT